TGGCTCCACGTTACTGAAATGGAGCGAGCAAAAAGCTTGCAAAATGAACAGAGCAAAAAGCATTTGAAGAGTTTCAGCACAGCCTTGTGGGTAAGCTTTGAAAATACACCAGGTCGTTTTCCCCCCAGGGAGTCTATGGAGGACTGATGTGGGCGAGCTCTGGGTCTTGGCTATCTGCCAGGCAAGGTCAGGCCATTACAAGGTTTCATCTCCAAAAGCAAAAATTTGATACTGAGTGCTGAAATTGGTCCAAAGTAAACGTGGGGTTTTTTCCTCTGTATGTTAGACAGTCACACTTATGACTACATCAGTTACTGCCAGCCAGTGGTGTGCATCTGTGGGATTCAAGAGACAACGCAGGTAAAAATAGTTATATGCCTGTTCCTGTGAAAAAGGTTTATTATATTAATTTCAAAAAATGAGTAACATGCATTGCTGATGCTGACAATCCTCAGTCTGAGGTCATAACTGTTTAAGAAAACCCCATTTTTCACTAAGGTTAAAACAATGAGACTAACATATTACAATAATTTGTACTAAGTATCACTCTTAAATAATTTTTAAAAAGTATTTTTTTTGTCTCTAGAAAAGAGATCTTTTAGTATAAACTTGCTTAGTACTTTTGTGGTCATGATCTTCCCTTCATTTGCATTGAAAAGAAAGATTGGCTCACAAAGCTTTTGTATAAACTTCATTTCTACATTGCTATACCTTTCAAATTACTGCATTCTTTTCTTCTTCAGAAGACTTTCCTCTTCTTCAGACTTACATTTTTTCTGAAGCAGAGCTGATGCATATACAAACGTGCTGTATTCTGTAACTGAAACTTCTCTATTTGGGTTTCCCTCGTCTAGAACACAGCAAGCTGGTTCTTGGCAAATAGTTGCTTTATGTATGGAAAAATAGCTGCAGTACAGCTGTGTAGAGACCTTGGGGAATTTCTGATACTCTTTTAGAGGCAATCTGGAGAACATACGTCAAAAAACACGGGCCTTCACAAAGGCAAGATGCCTTGTCGAAGACATAAGCATTGCTACTGGAAAGTTTCTCAGAGGAATGCCAAACAGAGGATGTAATTCCAGCTTGATGAGACAACGGCCTTGGAGTCCCAGTGGGCAGTGAGTTGTCCCTGGGACAGCACCGTGCCCTTGTGGCCAAGAGGGCCAGTGGGATGCTGGGGGGCATCAAGAAAAGTGTGTCCAGCAGGGCTAGGGAGGTTCTCCTGCCCCTCTGCTCTGCCCTGGGGAGACCACCCCTGGAATCCTGGGTCCAGTTTGGGGCTCCCCAGTTCCAGAGAGACAGGGACCTACTGGAGAGAGTCCAAGGGAGAGCTACAAGGGTGATCAAGGGACTGAACATCTCTGCTGGGAAGAGAGACTGAGAAACCTCGGCCTGTTCAGCCTGGAAAGGAGACGGCTGAGAGGGACCTTATGAACGTAGAGAAATATCTGAGGGGTGGGGGTCAGGAGGAAGGTGTCAGTCTCTTTTTGGTGGTGCCCAGCAATAGAACAAGGAATAATGGGTGTAAGCTAGAACATGGGAAGTTCCACCGCAACACAAGGAGAAACTTGTTGGCTGTGCGGGTGCCGGAGCCCTGGCCCAGGCTGCCTAGAGAGGCTGTGGAGTCTCCTGCTCTGGAGGCTTTCAAACCCCTGGACTCGTTCCTGTGTGGCTGCCCTGGGTGACCCTGCTCTGGCAGGGGGTTGCACTGGGGGATCTCCAGAGGCCCCTTCCAACCCCAACATTCTGTGATTCTGTGATCAGTTTAGAGCAAGGGGAAGAAATTGCTCCCTTCTCTGGGAGGATGCGAGTTCAGTGCCGCCAGGGGCTGAAGCATCTGACAGCATCAGCCGGCTCGGAAGTGGAGAGGGTGAGTTCATGGACACCAGCAGCACGGATGGGTGGGAAAAACAGGAGGTACAAACGTACCCTGCAAGAGCCCAAACGCAGCACAGGACACCGGGGCGTGGGAAAGCAACTTCTTGAGCAGCATCCCTGACCGCCACAGTTCACGTTTTTTTGCGTTGTACAACATTTTAATCAAGAATCACGGCACGGCTGATATTCATAACCTCCAGTCGCTGAAAAAGATTTTAATATAGCTACCTTGTTCATTACAGAGCACAAGAAACACAAACACAACTAACCAAAAGCAAACACCCAGATCATTCCCCGCCGCAGTTACCTGAGCTGGCAGACTCTTGTGGGGACTTGGGCATCCTTCCTGTCCCGCATTGTCCCACGCCGGACTTGACTCACAGAGCACTGCCACTTCTCCAAACCCACTTTTCTGTCAGCTTCTACCCAGCAAATTGTGGGACAAATCCATTCCCTTTTGTCACTTAAGCCCTTGATTACCCTCATTTGTTGCTCAAAGTCCTCTCCCAGCCGATCTGTTGCTTAGTTATCTTTATCTCGGACTTCAGATTATAAAACACTTTAGAGCAACAGCTAATTCCTAGCTGCAGGCAGTGGTTAGAAGTCTTTGTGCAGCTTAGCTCTACTTGAGAAAATAAACATTTTGCATCTTAGTTTCCATGTTTGTTTTGCGGCTTTTAGGCTATGCCAAGTCTCCAGCCCACTACAATGCTGTTCTTGCCCTAACAAAGCTTATTATCTTAGTATCTTGGGCTTCATTCCTCACCTGTAATATGCTTCACTGTGTTCCTGGGAGACATAAAAGCAAGCCTACAAGTAAGTCAAGTGACTACGTAGCACCCGGCGTAACAACATCCTTCCATCAGCTCTGTGTCACCACCTTGTGGATTTTTGAAATATTTGAATGTCGACAGAGAAGGGAAAAAAATCCCTGGTACATATAGAGAGAGTTCCTAGAAACAATCAGAATTTCTAAGCTGTGTTAAAACAGGCTTCCTCAATCACCACACTGGGATTTAATGAGATTTAATTGTGAGAACTGTTATTTAATTTGAAAATAATTAAAAGCTGAGAACTCCATTATCCCCTTGTGACTAGAAGGAACTTTACTCCAGAAGTGGTTTACATAAGGGCAGTTTTAATGTAAGGCTCTGTTTCTCTGGTTAGGCTAATAATGAAGACATGCATGAGGCAAAATTTAGCATAGTTCAGGACTTTTCTTTCAAAATACATACACAGATCAAGTGTTCACCTGGCATGCTTTTTTTTTTTTAAATATGCAGGCAAATGAACATCGAAATCATTCTAGAAAACAATTTAAGCCACACAAAATCCTTCGGAACTTTTAGAGCCCATGTGCTGCAGGAGCTTAAAAAGCTTCATTTCCCAAGGAATTTAAGTGTGTGAGTGCTCTCAGATTTACAGAACATGAAAATTTTGACTCAGTATTTGATTTGGGAATCTTTTTCACTTATTGCTAAAAGTGCTATAGGTAGCTGCACTGATCTCTTCATTTTGCTACCCGAACGGCTTTACCAGTGGACAAATCTTAGAAGAAGAAAAAGAAATTAATTGTTCCCTGTCATCCAGTGAGCACCACAGAGTCCCTCTGCACCCAAGGCTCTTTATCCTAAATTTTCTAATTTTGACACGTTCCTCTAAGAATAGCCAACAGACTTCAGACCCACTTTTTTTTTTTAATGTTTCCCTCTCACTTAGTTTCTTTTTCCACAGGTGACCCATCAGCTTTGTTAGCTGATCACACAACTTCAAGCTCAGAAGGAAGTTCAGGTGAGAGTCAAGGGGAACCCCCCTGCCTCTCTGACGGTTTGTTGCCATGTACTCAGCCAGGCTGCCAGGGAGCAGTTGTCTGAGCTAATAATTGTGAATACAATATTTTATCTGCAGTAACTGAAAAATTAGCTAACATTTTAAACAAGTGTCACTGTGCACATTACTTACATGGGTCTCTATTTTCAGTTGCGTTCTGCAAAGAGCAATCAGGAACATGCAGCATTAAACCAGAAGCACTGAATCTGCTGAGAGACTGTTCCTTCAAGCCAAAGAAAACAAAGTTTCCTTCCTCTTTATGAAGAGAATCATAGAATCATAGAATGGCCTAGGCTAGAAGGGACCTTAGAGATCATCTAGTCCAACCTCCCTGTCATGGGCAGGGACGCCACCTCTCTACTAGACCAGGCAACACATGGGGACCAAGCGGGAATCGAACCCGCGACCTCGGTGTTGGTCATCGTTGTCAGCACCGCGCTCAAACCACTGAATCGTGACACTTATCTGGGTTCACACACAGCTTTGTGAGAATTAAATGACGTGTTTTCCTACTGAAATCTTTAAGTTTCGTACATGGATGGGATAGCACAAGATTTTGTGCATTTAGGAGAAAAGGATCAGTTTGCAGGGTCCAACAGAAAAAATAATTTCCACCTTGTCAATTGTTAAGTTTTTTATTTGTTCTAAAAACAGTAGGCTAAAATCCAGCAAGAAACAGTAAAAATATCACAACAGTAACATACAAAACCTCGTAAGGAAAAAAAAATAATAAAAAAATTTGGTACCAATTAAAATCTACAAGGTTTGGAGAAAAATCATCTAAGTATTTTCCAATTCTGAAAACAGGTCAGATGCATTCATGGAAGCAGTCCCTTTAAATAAGAGTAAGCACAAGAAATAGATGTGCAAGCACATAGTACTTTAAGCCCTAAGAGTAAACAGAATGTTTCTTCTGTCCAAATAGTTGCCATCATTCAAATGCCAATCTCCAAACTCTTCGAGTCTTAACACCGAAATCTCAGATTAATATATGTGGAGCAACAAGGACATCTTGAGGCAAGTAAGAAAAATGCAAAAATTTCTATTCCACATTGATACAGAAGGACTTACAGATTCTCCAAAAATCTGAATTCCTTGGACTTGCTACATGAGGTAAACCACAAGCTCTTAAAACTGTTCGGCAAAGTTGGTCAGAGTCGCTTTTCCCTTTGACATGGATGTTGAAAAATTTTCCTGCCCACTGCTCATGTTTTTAAAAGAAAAAGTATAAAAATAGTGAAAAGGTTTCTGAGGAAGTATTAAATGCAAATCTACACAAAAATTAAACTTTCACAGTTCTTTGTGTCTCTCTCTGCAAGTTTCAAGTATTCCTTTAAATTTGTACCTTTGAAAAGCTGATATAACAGTAAACATTTTCCAAATAAAAAAAAAAAGATGGGAACAGGAAGAAATCTTATCTTTCTTACTTTGGGTTTGGTTTTTTTTGCACGTGAAGAAACACTTTTTTTTTCACTATAGCCTCTAAGTTAGAACTGGAGTTGTGGGGCCGTTTGTAGAGCTTTCTGTTCCTTTAGTGCCACCTGCAGCCTTAGAATCATCACATACTTCAGTAGGCTCATTTTCCTCCGGTGTTGCTGGGTTAAGATCAATCGTGATCAGATCCGTTTCCTGATCTGTTTTTTCTACTTCACTGCAAAATTCAACCTTATCTTCCTTGTGGCTGTTCTTCTTTATTTGTCCATTCTGTGCAGGGTAGATACCAGCAATGGTGTCATACAGAAATTGGTAATGTTCCTTAAAGAGAAGAACTTAGTATGAACGGAGTGCTCAGAATGCAAGAATAAATCAATTCTTTCTTTGTTTTCATAAATTTTAGAAATGTAATGTGTAGTTGAACAAGCTATGAAGCAGCTTCCACAGATTTTGACATGCAGAATGTTGCTTCTATGGTTTATTCTGATTTCATGTCTGTGTAACGTCTCTATAACTGCCTGCGTCTGACTTCTGAGTTGTTACTCAACCCTTTTCGTTCACAAAGTACCAAAAATATGTTTTATAGAGTACCCAGGTTGTAAACAACACATATTTTAGTGACCATGATAATTAATCTCATAATTTTTTCTCGTAATTCATAAGATTTACTTACAAAGGTGGAGACCACTCCCAGCCTGGTGCGACGAAGAGCTTTTACTACTTGGAAAACATCTATTACTTCTTCTATTTCGGCACTCTCCAAGAGGGTCATTAAGGCACAAAATACACCGGTCTGCTGGGATCCATCGCTAGAAGATGATGTAAAATGTACACGTAAATTTAAAACGGAAAATCAGCAAGCCCTCTGACTAAATGTCAAATTTATGTCAATGTTTACATTAAATTTCCAAAACGTTTTTTACTGGACTGAAATTGTTACATGTAATATACATAGGACACACAAAAGACATAGTTTATCTAGAGGCTACCTGGATCTCACGTGGGTCAGAGAGAAATTAGAAGCTTCGGGCTTACAGTCTCACCAACTGTTAGCAGGATTATCCTCTGATATAGATGCTATGCAAAGCTATTCCTGGAAATGGTCCTAAAAAAGTGGGTTTATGTAAGGGAGCTCTGCTCTGCTGGATCCTCATATCAGTAGCACACTGCAAGAGCACTCTGACCTAGCATTTCTTCTCAAACATGTACCAGGCAATAGCAGCCAGCTCTGACCACCTACTCCACACCCTTGCTTGCCACTAAAATTAAAAACATCAAGCTTGAGCGATTCCAGGAATCTTCCAGGGAGAGAGCTGAGTCTCCGGGCACGTGGAAAGGCTTGGGCGAAAAGTCAGGCATCCCAAAGCTGCGGTTGCTGCGTTTATCCAGAACTTAGAGCTAGGTTACAGTACATGCTAAATTCAAACCCACCGGCAGTGGATGACGAGCGGGACACTGCGGGTACTTCTGCTGTCCTCAGCGCCTGCTCTGGCTGGGAGTTTTTGTTTAAGGCTGAGAATCATGCTGACTAAATCTTTGGGGGTTTCCGGAACATCCAAGCCACTCCACTTGTGATATTGATACTGATACACCTTCTGTGTGTCTTTTGTCTGAAAAATAGCAGTGGAGATGTAGTCAACGTTCAGGGTAAAAAAAAGATTGACATGGTACATCTATTGCAGCTGATTTACAGAAGGAAAATTATATTCCCGAGGAAATGCATGGTGGTGTGAGTTCTGTCTCATGAATATGAAGTAGGTAGACATCCAAGCTTTGTTCAAAGCACAACAGACAGCTGACCTCCCGAAACTCCACTACCACCATCTCAGCAATTCATTAAATGGGAAATCTGAGCTCATTTATAGCATTTATCATGATTGGCTGCTGGTCTGGAAGAGCAAAATATTTCCATTTCTCAGAGCAGGAGGTAAGTGCAGTGGGAACTATCCCGTCTTTCTTTAGGCTAAGTTTATAGCATTAACAAATTTCAAACTCCCTTCTAGAATTTGCAAAGAAAAGTTTACCTTCAGATGTGTAACATCAAAGGCACGTATGGTATAGCTCTGACAACAGTTGACATCTGTCATTTGAACTTCTATGCCATCGTATGTCTGTTTTCCTTCTCCCCAGTACTGTGCACAAAGTTCCTAAAACAAGTAAAAGTATGAGTCAGTGTTTACCATTTGAACCTTTTATTTTATCTTCCACACACACTTACAAAATGTAGTGACTTCAAAGCAGCTGGAGTGTCATTGTATTTGAAAATACGGCATCGTGCACTCTTCCCCTCAAGAATTCATTCACAATTAAGAATGTAAATAATAGAAAGAATTGTATTGGAAATCCAAATTCCTCACCCTAACAGGCTTAGCCGGAGGAAAGGAATGAGAAAGTGCAGTGCAGTGTGTTCTTTGCACATAGAGGACGATGCCCTCACCTGATCTCCTTCTTTCAGCTCTGTCAGCATAACAATGACTTTGACTCTTCTTTGGAAAACCATTTGCCAGAAGTCAGAGATAGTTTCCTGCAGCGGCCCCTGTGTTGCAATCATGGCTTTTGGACCCCAGTAGCCCTGTAAAAGAAATTTTTACTTATTTTTTTTTTAAATGCATTTGAAATGTGATTGTTAAACAACAAGACTCATTGTCATTTAAAGGATACCCAGTGAAATATAGTAACAGACCCTTTTATTCATAGGGAAAATATGCCACTAGGTAATGGCCTTACAGGAATTCTGCAAGCCAAATGACTTTAAACTCAATTCTTCTAATAACAGTATCACTTCCAGGTTGACAGCAAGGTATACCAACGCTGCAGTGAGTGAAAACTCATGCTGCCATTTTCTGCAAAGCATATTTTTTTAGGAGCTAAAACATTTAATTCTACATAGTTGTTTAATTTGAGATTTGAGCACCAAGAAATTGAGAATTGCACATGAAGGTTGTGCACAAGTCAGTTCACGCTGAGCTACCCGATCATAAAAAATACATTTACTGTGAAGAGCTATCCTAACTGTGCAGCATTTGAAAAGATTCAGATAAATATAATTTAGCTTGTAATTCCATTAAAATCTGTTAGTCCATTAGTGACCAGTAACGGCTCTCCTTTTGGAGGTATATATGATAACAAATAACTGATGGCCCCATTTTTTACCAGTAGGGTTTTGTACATGTGTGTAACTCTACTCATATTTCACCAACACAAAAAACATTAATACGGATCGACCTGTAGGAAGATGCCCACTAAGAGAAATACATGTTAGCACAAGTCAGTTTGAAAGCTAGCATTTTTAAACCTAACACACACACACAGAAAAAAGTGTTTCTATCGTTAGCCTCGCTATTTGAGGTTGCACAAAGACTATATAAGGGGAGAAAAGATTCGACTTATCACTGCAGCAAAACGTAGAAGATTTTGGCGACTGAAACCATACGTAGATTTGCCAACCGACTGTCACATCTTTCCCCCTTAGGTATATTGGGAAACTACTAAGAGAATCAGAACTGAAGCTAGAATACAGTTTTATTGGAAAGCTCATGAAATACTTCTAGAGGATTCTCTAAATACATACAGTTACGTAGGAAGCGTTGATGTATTTGCTCGATTCCTCGCAGTCGCTGTCCTCGTCGGAGGAATCGTCTGAATCTCGCTCACCCTCCTTACCGTATTCATCTTCATGCCTGATGGGCACGCGGTTAAAGTCATCTGCAGGAGACAAAGTGTCACCACTGGGCTGCTGGGGTACAGCATCAGAGGGGAGGCTGTCCCTGCATGTGCAGGGGGGGAAACAGGCAGAGAAAGGCCAGTTCTTTCACGACAGACAGCAGAACAAAGGCTGCTTTATTGGAAATAAACACCCCCAAGAAGTCACGTTTTAAAAAGTTCAGATCTTTTTTTTAAAAACATTATGGAGAAGTTCCTAATTTTTTGTTGAGGAAATCATTCAAATATTATCTTAGTAAGGTAATTTACTGTGCGCATCTTTTCCACAGTTTAGTGGGTTTTCTTACAGAAGATAACAGGTTCATGGAAAATACTTACATGGAATTATGTTGGCATTCCTATTTTTGCTTTTATTTTCCTCACGGTTTCCAGTGTTCTGCGTCCGCCACCCCTTATAGGAAGGTAACCTCTAAAGAAAGAGAACATTTGATATAAAAGGCAACCCCTAAAGAAAGAGAACTTTTTATATTATGCTTGATTAAAGTGATTCCTGAGATCACTGTCACCTCTGGACACCTCCCATCCAGTCTTCAGCTCCCAGCACCTCACCTGTTAATTTAATTCTTTAAACTTTGGTCACATCTGGACAACCGTTTTAAAGTTCCTGCTATACTGAGTACAGAAAATCATGCACACAGAGACAAGTAATATTTCTGTGCTCATCACCTTTGATAAAAACACTAACATCAAAAGCAGGAATAAAATTCTATTAATTAACAGCTTTTTTTTTTTTCCATAAAAGTAGAGAAACTGTTTCTGTGCCAGAAAAATAAAGTAGCGCAGAAGTGATCTATTATGTAGGGTATCTATCTCACAACTTTCTAACCTAAGTGGGAGGTAAGGGCACTCGAGTGTTTATTTACCTGAAACTCTGCCTCCAGCAGAGAAGGATCGCTCGGAGGATCTTTTCTCTTCAGATTGTTAAGATAGGAATGCAGTTCCGAGATATTGACCTCTGTTTCTCCATACTGATTGTATTCCACTAGTGCTTGGTGGATAAGGATGTACTGTGACTGGTGTTTCCCATTTTGAGGGTTTAAAAAGGAAGTTATTAAAGAGTTAATATATATATATACTTTTTTAAACCACTATAAGACATTATATACTCCCATGATGTTATTAGCATTAATAGTATTAAACATTAATGTTAAATAGGCATTAAGTACAGTTATTGAAAATGAGAGTGGCTTCCAAATTCGACATTTTGGAGCTCATTTAATGTGCTGGAGGAAAAATGTTCTGCAAATAAATGCAACGCCATTCAAGAAATACGCAATTGAGGTCTGAAAGATCTGCAAAATAACTAAGTTAAAAACGTGCATTGCATCAGTCCGTAACTCTTGTTATGCTCTCAACACAACTGAAAATCCCACATAGACACTGTTTGTAGAATTTGAAAACCAAGTCTGACTATTCAAGTTTGACTTTGCATTTGTGAATCGCATGGCAAAATCCCGGATGATCAAATCTAAAATGTTCTTCTTGGCTTCCTTTTTTAAAGTCTAGACTTCAAAAGATGGAAGCTTCTAAAACCGGAAAACTGTGTTGGAAGTTTTTCTTTCAATATCTTTCAGAAACATAGCTTCTGTGAACAACTTGGGCTGAACTGTAGCAATAGTCAAGACTGACAAGTCTTGATGAAGCCCTTGCAAAGGACAGTTCTACACTATTGGAGCTTTAGTGAGATACCTCTACTTGAACCATGAGGCACCGCTGCCGACGCAGCTTCACGACGTAGCCATAAACGTCCACTCTGCCTTCGGCATCCAGCCCCTCCAGCATGGCATCGATTCCGATGTATGTCCCAGTGCGCCCCACACCGGCGCTGCGAAGCACAAAAAGGGGGTTTTGTCACTGAGACGGAACGGCACCTCCCAGTCCTGCTCCGAGAGGAGAGCAGGCAGTGTGAGAGCGAAAAGGAAAAAAGTTTAATAATGGGATATGAAGCAAGTGAAAACGGTTCTCGCTGTAAATTAATCAGTAACACAAACAATGACGAGTTTGTATTTTAAGCATCTTTTAATGGAAGTAACGCCAGTATAGCTAAATATGGTGCTTATGCCCCTAGGAGCCCAATGTTTATCCGGATGTTTTCCAAAAGTCCAAAAGTCTGTGTATCCTCGGATTTTATTGACCTGAATATCCTTCAGATGCTTCAGAAAACAGGTCTTCTTAAGTATCTTTGCCTGCTTCATAGAATCATAGAACAATTCAGGTTGGAAAAGACCCTTGGGATCATCGAGTCCAACCATTAACCCTACACTACAAGTTCACCCCTAAACCATATCACTCAATCCTACACCATATCACCCCTATCAAGTCACAAAATTTGGGAGCAACAAAATACTTTTGCCGGCTCCCTTTTCTAAATAGCTTCACTCCATGATCATTTAACATCAACTTTTTTTTTAAAAGAATAATATATATTTACCTGCAATGAACCACTATTGGGCCACTAAAAAAGTTGCTGAGAGCATTAACTCTGCGCCGGAGTTTCAGAAGGAGATGCGGATCCTCAGGGACTCCATGGTCTGGCCAGCTTGTGAACTGAATATGAGTGACATCTCTTCCAGTTGTTCTTTCTCTTCCCTAGGAGAAGTGTGTGTTGTTGGTTTTTTTAATATATTTATATATGCAAAACCCAAATCAAGTGCAGATATACAAAGCAGATATAAAACAAAGGCAACAGTCATCAAATGCCAAAACAAGAATTTACAAGTGCGCTGAATTGTAATCCCAACGGTCTTTCTGGTCAAGATATTTTTCATATTCAATTTTAATTTTAAAGCATCAATGAATTAGGAGTATAGAATAACTCCAACAGAGGACAAGCAGGATGTTCAAAGTGTTGCTAAAAAAATGTTCTTCTTAGGTTAAACTATGGTCCAGACTATAATATGCCTCCCCACTCTATTCATAAACAATTTGGCCAGTGTATAGCTCTCACGACTTCAGAGATGAAGGTCAGTAATTCTCTTATGTCTCTTAGGAGCAGCCTGCTGATGATACAATAGACTTGCTTTAAAAAAAAAAAATTTAACTGCAATTCAGACTTCTACCATTTAGAAATAAATACAAAAACCCTATGATTTTCAGTAAGACTGACTCAAATCACTTGATTAAAGCTTAAATCATGCCAAGTCTTGAGTCCTGCTTTCACATGCTGCTGCTAGATTAAAAGAGAGGACATCTATTTTGATGACCATGATTACAAAGCAAAATGAGAAAGACATCTCGATGGTATTCTTTTACTGTCTGAGAATTAGTATGGGCATTTCCTCTGTAATTAACCCCCAAATTCTTACTCAGCACTGAAATATCCAGTTGTGGCAGAGTTACTTGCCATTCTTTCAGTAATTATATGTCATTAGTCCACCAGTGGTGCAGAAGTCTCCACTTTGTCACCAACACCTCCTTTTAAATTCCACAGCCAACATTCAGTTTTATCTATACCAATACGGTGTCTGCCGAACAGAGAGCCGACGGTTCTAAAAGTATCAATCTTCAACCTGCAGCAATCTCTCATTCTCAATGCCAGATTGTTGTAGTCACAGAGAAATGTTAATGGTTATAACGGTATACTTTGTTAATGGTTAATGGTTAATTCTTAACATCCTGATATTCTCACTGTCTTCACACTAAGTAAATTTTAATGCAAGATGAAAAATCAGAATAGGAATGTCCAGCTGTAATCAAGGACCAAGACGGGTGGAGTCTTATGCTTGTCTGTTTTGCTGAAGATCTGAAGATTTACTCCTTGAGCCTTAACGCTTTTTAAGGGAGTTTACCCTTTACTCTCGTATATTTTCACAAAGGGCCCAAGAGATGTGTTTCGCCTTGGACCGCAAATTTCGCTCTCAGTTACGCACAGAGCAACTAATGTGATTTCAGATGTATGAAAGAGAGCAATTAACCAGCCTTAATGATTCTACGTGTAGCCAAATGGTAGTTTTAAAACACTTATGTTTATAAATGCACCTGAGATAACCAGAATTTGTAATTCTCGCCCTGTTATCACAAGGGTAGATAATGGTGCTCTATGAGCCACACTGATTTTACTTGTGGAACGTTATGCTGAGATACACAGAAACCAGCAAAATTTCTGTGTTTAAGAATCATAGAATCATAAAACAATTCAGGTTGGAAAAGACCCTTGGGATCATCGAGTCAAACCATTGACCCTACACTACAAGTTCAACCCTAAACCACATCATCCAACACCACATCTAAGCGACACTTGAACACATCCAGGGATGGCAACTCAACCACCTCCCTAGGCAGCCTGTTCCAGTGTCTGACCACTCTTTCCGTGAAGAATTTCTTCCTAATGTCCAGCCTAAACTTGTCCTGTTGCAACAAGCTAAACATCTCAGAAAATCACTGTGTATTAGTTTTTGCACATATAACAGGATATTAACAGCTTCCTCTTCAATACAGATTCCAGAGTACTTAGGACAATACATTTTTATATTGGGAAATACACATCTAACTCATTTTTCTTGTAAGGAATATCACCCACATCTAAGAAGTTTTCTCTTAAACTACATGTTTCTTAGGAAAAACAGCAGAGCATCTTCCACTGGTCACTGACTCTTCTTTTAAAAGGACCTCTTAATGGCATCCAGAGTCTCCAAAGAGACACTCCAATTCCAGTCAGACTTTTAAATCAACTCACGTTTGTGATGCGTAGTTTTTGAATGACGTAGTCTGGACACGTTTTGCTTTCATTGATCGTCACAACAATGTCCCCATACGTTGCAGAGCTGTTCTCCATTGACGGCCAGTACTGGGCACATTTGTTCTATCAAGATATGAAGGCAGGTGAGAAGCACGACAGCAAAGAGTCGAGAGCTAGAAGAAAGCCTAATTTAAACCAGGTGGCAACTCAGTATAGATTTTCCAACTTCTCACAGGTCTTGTCCTCTCCTGGAAAGGCTGTCACACTGCTGAGGATGTCAGCGCTAAAGAAGTTTATGCCCATGGAATTCGACTTGGAAGGTAAAGAGGGGAAAAAATCCTGCAGCTGAAAAAGTGAATAGCTACTGCTGCTGTTGCCTGAAAAGTTTGCGGCTACTTCTATGGCTTCTTTTTCAGTCGATAGTGAGTGACGTTACTCCTACCTGCCTATAACATTAACTTGGGGATGCTATAAATCTGCATGCTGCCAACTTTTGTATCTTCAAAAGCAGTTAAAACAGCAGTTCTCCTTCTTCCTGCTGTACCTGGCATAAGGAACAAAAGCAAGCCAGAAGCACACAACCTTCCAGTTAAAGGAAGGGGAAAGGCAAGAGATTAAAAAAAAACAAAAAAACAAAAAAAACAAAAAAAAAAAAGAAACCCCAAAACTATTCTGTCTAGGATTTACTGAGGGTAACAAGATAACAGACAAGAGGAAAATACAAACCATACTTCTTATGACTGTAAGGAGCTAGGGTTCTACCTTGAGCCCTTTTCTGGATTTAGCTATGACTAAAGAGACTTTATCTGATAAGACTGGTTATTGCATAAGGCAACACTGCTTTGACATCCTTTCCAGCACTGAGAACAGCAAAGAATGAAAATAAAGCGCCAAGAAGAAAATGTAATTCACCACAGCAGAGCAATCCATTCTGTTTTAAGACAAAAGAAGGGTGGAAAGATAGGTGGGTGGGTGGGGGAACGTTTCTCACCCTCTTTCCTTCCTCACAGCGGGTCACCATGACAATAATTGTTGCCTTCTGCTCCCAGATCATCCTCCAGAAATCATCTGTGGTTTCATCCTTGGGGCCTAGCAGGAGATATTTTAAGGGACTTTTTCAGAGCGCAGCTACCCGAAAAAACACTCGCGTTCTTGCCATGCTCAGCCACGCAGTCCGAAAAACTAACCAGATGCCACGCAAAGAGCAGCCCCACACTTGATTTCATTATGAGAGCTGCCATTAGGCTGCCAGGTTTTAAAAGGCTCGTATGGATCGTTAGTGCATAGCTGGGAAATCCAAGAAATTTTGGCATAAAATTATACATCATGGGACATCTGCCATCTTCGCAAAATTGTAAGTCATCCCTAAATTTATACATCATGAGAAATCTGCCTTTGAAGTACAATATCTTCATCTTCACAAAATATCTTCATCTTCACAATATTCACCATTTCTTAATCTTCATCTTTCACAACATAATATCTTCATCTTTACAAAATTCCCTACGCAAAAACCCCACTGGTAACTTTTTCATATTGCATTTCAAAAATGTCAGATTTTCAATTTTTCTTAAAATTTGCTAATACTTCTTTGCTACTTTCTAACAGAAAAAAATAGAATAAAGAAAATGTACTCTTTTAAGGTTAAAACTTACCTTGTGCAGCAATGTATTTTCTTGGTTCTTTGAAGCCCTATAAAAAGCATAATGTTATCAGCTTTTAGAAAGGAAGCACGAACAATTTAAAAGATTTGCAACTTTAAAAATCAGTTTAGCATGCAACACTCCAATAATACTAAATACACTGCAAAGATTGAAAGAACCTAAATGGAAACCCTCAAAGGCGTTTGACGCATGAAAAGCACAGACTACAGAATTGTTTTGATATCACCGAAGACTTTTTTCCTTCTTTTTTTTTAAGCAGAAGTCACTCACATCAATATAACTTGCATTGATATAGTCTGATCCTGGGTCTCCTGGGATCTCTGAGAGCTCTACACGGTTATGATCATCTGTTTAAATAATTTAGAACAAATGAATTATATTATGTCAAGAGAAAACAAATAGTAATTAGGAGTGCAAAATCTGTAACAAATACTCACATGGAAGGATGTCGATGTAACGGTTCTTGTTCTGGTTATAGCTTTTTTTTGCCTCCTTTATTGAAAATTTAGTGAAAACCCTAGGAATACTCTGTAAAATATGGTATTTCTTTTATTAGGTAAGCATATATTTAAAATAGCTTCTACTATATTTTCTACTATATTTAAAAGAGCTTCTACTTGCAGTCAAATTATATGAATGAAATTTAATTTCTTTCATATGATACTACTATATGATACCAAATTTTTTTCCCTTAATATAAATAATATGTATCTCCACAATTACATAATATTTTTATCCCCGTGGCTATGCAGTAAGAGAGGGTATTAAAAACATGCATTCAAAGGGAGTTTAGAAGGAGAAGTATTTAGATTGTGTATTTTATATTTTCACCAAAAAACATCCTCAAGGGAAAAAAAAATTGTACTATCATCTTGTAATGAGTAACAAAATTAAAATTATAATGGTAACAAATTATAACGGTAACAAAATTAACTGAAGCTTATTTAACTTTAGATGAGAATTCACTCCCTTTTCTAGATTCTTATGGTTTTTTTATTTATTTCTAATGAGTGCATATACTTCAAACATGGTTTTAAACAGAATTCTTCCAACCACCTGGCTACAAATCTGATGTATTTTGAACCAATGACAAACCTGAAATTCATCCAAGAAAAGTCTTCCTTCGTCAGCAATCTTCCTCTTGTACGTGTCCAGCAAGTGCTCCGAAAGTATTGGGTCTATGTTCAGAAGTTGTCTGTCATCATCTTTAACTGTGTAAATACATCAAACCCTTAGCACTTACTTGGAAAACGTAAATTACATTTCAGTAAACGTGATGCTTGAATTGCCAGATAAATTAATAAAAGGACAAACCTCTATTTTAACCAAGTATGTTTATTTTTTAAAAAAAAACTTTACTTTTTTAACAAGCTTGTGTCTAAGCAAACAGATTTGAATATCAAATATTACCTCTCATTTAATGTAGTTAATGCCTATGGGCTGGAATGACATAAATTACGCTTTTCTTGAAGTTTTCTAGTATTAACTGATTCTGCCTTTCTTCACAGGCTTCGAAATGTTGTGCAAAATGTTGCACGTAATAGTTTGCAGGCTTTGGGGTCTGAAAGCCTTTAAAATTTTGCTGTAAAAACTGGGCTACGTTTACATTCTTGCTTTGAAAAAGGTGCACAGGAAAGGGAAATTTTGGTGGAAGCTGCATTTGATTCCAGACTTATTCTCAGGATCAAACTTATTACAATCATTTTCTGGGATAACAAAGTTGGTTTTGTAACTAAACAATAAATAAGAGGTTTTCAAACACTGATAAACTTTCAGTTCATTTAAGTATTTATATCCATATATATGTATTTAAGCATTCATATCTATTTAAGTATTTATATCCACAGCAGCAAGACGCGCGACTATTTTATTTCCACTTGCGAATTATATGATGGTACTCACCTGCAACAAGGTTTACGCCTTCAGAAGAATTGCTGGAAGAAGAAAAAGCATTTGTAAAAGCTTTGGCTAGTAAGACACATATTTGCTACGTATGATTATGACTATTTATAAAAGCATTTTGTATGAGAACACCAAGACTCCTCACAAACAGCAGGCGATGTTACAAGCTCTCTGTGAAACAAGAGTGCTACAACTGGGATTTGCAAGCCCTACACAGAGGTGGTTGGGATCTTTTTTTTCCTACTCTGAGACTATCAGAGGGAAGAAACAAGGGAATCCCATTAAACATCTTTACTGCTAACATAAATTTGTCTATTCCACCTGCAGCAAATGCAGATTTAGTTTCTTCAGTGGACTGACTGCTCACATCCCCTTTGCTTCTCTTGCTAAATAGATGAGAAAAAGCTAACACTACAGAAAATATAACAAAATCAAGTTGAAAAGGTTTTCCAAACATGAATATTTTTTAGCAAAATTAGTGACAAAACATTTTGTTCTAGCAGATCGGTTCTTTGCCCTGAGAAAGGGTACAGCAGAAAGATTTTAAATCTATTTCATTGTTTTTGCGTTGCTGGATAAACCACTAAAAACAGAGTTTCTCTTGAAAGAATTAAAAGGTAATAAGATGACTCTACCCAGGATTAACTTGTAACGTTTTTGCTAGATCTATTGGAAAATTTTGTGGAAAAAGAGAAATGTTTCCAGCCCCCCCCTCCCCCCTTATATAAGAGATGGAGAGAAACATGAAGCTTACTTAAGCTTTTTTTTGTGAAGATCATAGATTTTGTACAGAACCAGTAGTAAAGCAATTGATGTCACAACAATCAAGAACGCCAAGAACGTAATCAGGGCTTTAGAGTTATCTAGCAACAGAAAAAGAATACATTTATTATTTCTCAAATACATAATTAATGGCATTTAAAAATTACATTATTTTCGTGTTTCTGTTTTCTAAATCTGTATACTTCTAGAATCAGGGCTCATTGACTTTTTTTTTTTCTGGTGAAAATAAACACTCACAAATAATTGTTTAGTTAGTTTAAATCTGTGATACCAAAGTGCCAAAAATTTTTTAAGCTCACGGAAAAAAAAAAAGGAGGATATTTTATTTCTTCATTAAGAAAACTTTCTCTTAACCTCTCCACATCCACGTGTCAAAATGGTACAACTCCCTCTCTGGGTTGGCATTACCATGGTTGTCTCCTGCTCTGTGGGACCTCCCGATTTGGGAGCTGGGAATCCCTGACAAGTCACAGAGGTTCAGCTCCTGAAATGCAGGATCTCAACAGAGGAAATTAATCCTAAAGCAAGGAATTTAGGTCAGAGAAACCAAAGTCTAGTTGCATTCGGATGTTTTCTGAAGAAACCACAGCTGTGTAACAATTCTGAATTACAATCAATGACTCTTCAGCATGCTCTGTTACAAATATGCTGAATAAGGATATTAATTTTTCAAATGCAGATCAACTATTAACTATAAAAACAGGCAGTTCGGATATTTAATTAGGAACAACTGCAATGGAAACCGCAACTCACACTATTACTCTATACTATGCAAAAGAAGTAAAAATGCTGTATTACTTACATCTGGTTTTTATACTCATCTTTACTGGATTCCCTCTATCATGTCCATTATACACTAAGATCTGCACGCAGTGGGTGGGAATAATAGAGAAGTTAAGATACAACAAGTAAAAACATCTGCATTTTTTTGTAAGTGAACCAAAACGGATATTCAAAATATGGCCATTTATTTCCAATGAATCTACCTCATTGACAGCAGGATCTGCTGTCAATCTTTGTACAGCCACTTACTGTGCAGCTCAGAGTTCCACCCAAGTTACAGCAAGATCTGGATCCAAAAATATGTAGATGACTGGGAAAAATGTGCTAGTCAAGTAGGAAGCACATTTTACCAAATAAAAATCATAGAATCATAGAACAGTTTTGGGTGGAAGAGACCTTCAAGATCATCGAGTCCAACCTTTGTCCCAACCCTATCAGTTGTACCTCAAAGAAAAAAAAAAAAAATCTAACTCTTAAAAAATCAAAATCAAATCCGAAAAATAACGGTGCTTCAACAGTAAATGCACAGTCAACTGAATTGGATATTTTTAATAAAAATTCCTGCACGGGAAGTAATTAATAAAAGCTTAAATTACAGAAACCATTTTGTATATTTTGTATTTTGAAATAATCTGCTTTCTTGCAATGTTAACATTTGGGTACTTTAACTGGTGTTAAAATACTGACTTTGTTTAGATGTGGTTTTATGTCATGATATATACTACATTTATCCAATCTTTTAAGCTCCCTAAATAGAAATTCCTATCAGATTTAAACAGGCAGCTTGACGTTTGTCTGTCAAGTATTTCACACTTTTCTTGTGAAGAAAAATTAATCTTACGATTAAACATATATATTTCATACCAACCAGTGGAGAATACTAATGGGATTGAGTAATAGTGATT